TGGATTGTTTAGTAGGTCTTTTCTACCTTTAATTTCTGTGATTCAATACTATGAGACACTATCAAATACATATATTAAGCTTTATTTAAATCACTGTAGTTATAAGGCTGATTGTTCCTCATTCATATATCCTTGTAAAGGTGAAGCCAAGATCATATTTTACATGTTTAATCTTCCTCTAGCAATACCATCCTGTCAAGGCAATTTATTCCAATACAGTCTGCTCACAAAATCAGTATTTCCTTTTTCATAAGCATACAAGTACATGATAAAAGGCATTTCAGTTATTTGAAGTGCCTTTGCTATCACAGAAGATATAACAGTTTTAAGTGGTGTGAAGTAGACGTGGCACTTCAGGACATGGTTTAGTGGGCATGGTTGATGGTTGGACTCGATGATCTTGAAGGTCTTTTCCAACCTAAATGATTCTATGATTCTATAAGTGTTTGTAAATCATTACTGAATACAACTGGAAGATGTTCATTTGTTGCAGGGCTCTCCAACTTTCCAGACTGCAAGCTATCCGAAGAAACAAAGATCTGAATCTGAAACTTAGCTATAATACTCAGATAATGATAACTTTTTGTTAAAAAAAAAAAATGAGATTTACCATGGCATTATTTGTCCCATTGCAAATTTTTTGTTTTCATCCAACAACCTCTTTAGTCTACCTTCACTTAAACTGTCAAGACAGTATCCAGACTCAGCAATGCACTGAAATCATTTGGCTGAAATTAACTGTCAAAATTACCTGTAAAATGTCGAGAGCCAGAAACTCCACCCTTTCTGTTATCATTCTTCCCTTGGGAAGATTCTCTGTTCTCCACAGAAGCCTGCACTTGAGGTGGAGAGCTGTCCTTCTATCACTATCAGAAAGTTTCTGGTACAGTGTTGTGCAAGAAATATGATTTCGTAAAGCATAGCTTTAATTTATGTGTAAGTACCTCAAATTCTACTGTTTGCAAAACAGCATTGAAAAAATGTCAGGGGGGTCTAGATGCAAATAAACATCAGAAAACACAGAATCATAGAATCATTTAGGTTGGAAAAGACCTTCAAGATCATTCAGTCCAACCATCAATGATGCCCACTAAACCATGTCCTGAAGTGCCACGTCTACACGCTTTTTGAATACCTCCAGGGATGGTGACTCAAAGACTCCCCTGAGCAGCCTATTCCAATACCTGACAACCCCTTCAGTAGAGAAATTTTTCCTAATATCCAATCTAAACCTCCCCTGCCTCAACTTGAGGCCATTTCCTCTTGTCCTATCACTTGTTACTTGGGAGAAGAGACCAACAGCCACGTCGTTACAACCTCCTTTCAGGTAGTTGTAGAGAGTGATAAGGTCTCCCCTCAGCCTCCTTTTCTCCAGGCTAAACAACCCCAGTTCCCTCAGCTGCTCCTCATAAGACTTGTGCTCCAGGCCCCTCACCAGCTTCACTGCCCTCCTCTGGCCATGCTCCAGCAACTCAATGTCTGTCTTGTAGTGCAGGGCCCAAAACTGAACACAGTACTCGAGGTGCGGCCTCACCAGTGCCGAATACAGGGGAACAATCACCTCCCTGCTCCTGCTGGCCACACTATTTCTGATACAGGCCAGGATGCCATTGGCCTTCTTGGCCACCTGAGCACACTGCTGGCTCATATTCTGCTGGCTGTCAACCAGCACACCCAGGTCTTTTTCTGCCAGGCAGCCTTCCAGCCACTCTTCCCCAAGCCTGTAGCGCTGCATGGGGTTGTTATGACCAAAGTGCAGGACCTGGCACTTGGTCTTGTTGAACCTCATACAATTGGCCTCAGCCCATCAATCCAGCCTGTCCAGATCCCTCTGTAGAGCTTTCCCACCCTTGAGTAGATCAAGCCTCCGTCCCAACTTGGTGTCATCTGCAAGCTTGCTGAGGGTGCACTCGATCCCCTCATCCAGGTCATTGATAAAGATATTAAACAGAACCGGCCCCAATACTGAGCCCTGAGGAACACCACTTGTGACCCACCGCCAACTGGATTTAACTCACTGATGTTTGTATCTGTACACTTTTAAAGTCAGAGCATAAGAACTTTTTATACCGACTGTCAAAGCAATGTATATCACCGAATTACAAATTCATTAAAATTTTCTTCCCTTTCTCTGCTCCGCCCCAATATTTCAATATGTAGATCATTCCATGTGCCAGCTGTATTCTGCTTATGTACTTCCTTTTCTTATACTACCTTATGCTAGCAAAAATGATACCCTAGAAATCCTAAAGGATTTATCAAATCTAAAAATGTGATATTTTGCAGGTTTAAAGTGCTGATCTGCTTTCGGCTGTACATTAGACAGTTAAAACCCTACCATTCCTAGAAAACTTGAGATGGAAAAGCACAATCTGATCTATCTTGCATATTGAATTTTGTTTGCATATGGGAATCTAGATGGAAGATTTGATTTGAAACAATATCCTTCATGAATACTGATTGAAAATTTCATTTATATACAGCATTTTGAGATACAAAAATACATTTTATGAACAACTGAACACAAAAGAAGTGGGGAAAGTGGAAGGTTTCACTTACTAAGAGTTACGTAATAGCTGAATTGTGGCATTTCTGAACTAGCATACGAAAAACAAAAAACCCACTAGCTTTCCACTATAGTACATTAAAAGATGATACACATTCAAACCACATGTCCTCTGCTATACTTCACATCTTTCTACGAGCATTTAGTGCTCTGAAGGCAAAGTTTATTTTTGATTTAGGATGGTTTGGGTTTTTTAAATACTGTTTAAACAGTGCATTCGTACTTTATTGTCAGTTAGCTAAACCAGGACAGTTCTTGTGAAATCAGGAAGTCAGGGAGCAATGTTCTGGTGACTTTCACTCTGTCTAGTAGTCAGTTGAACTCATGACAGCTGACTGACATGAATCAATAGTGAAATAAACTGGAAAGACCCTGATGCACAATACATTCCAGACAAAGTATTGTATTGAAGCTCCTAAATGATCTTGAAATTTAAGGTACATAAAGGAATCCTACTTAATCAGTAACAAATTCTTAAAACATGCAAAGAATTATTGGAATACACTGAAGTCTGAACCTGTGAAATGATTTTCACATTGCCTAACATTAAGCACTCCCTATTTACTTGCCTTGCTAAAAGGCTAACCTCCCTGCAATTCCTATTTCCACAGGGACACTTGGTGCAGGAACCAGAACTTATGTGTTCTGAATCATGCTCTACACAAGGATATCTCTCTCAATTACAAAAATTATATAAAAGGAAAAGTAGGCATCTAACCTGAAACTGTAAATAATATGGTCCAAACACCCTCCTTCCCCCTCCACTCACACACCGAGTCCTAAAAGTGTGTCCAAAGTATTTGAGTTCCACAGGCAGAGTAAATTTTTCCATCTTTTTAAAAGTTATAAAGGAATAGATAATCTTCATTAATACACTTCAGTGTATTTGCTTAAAAACTCTTTCATCACAGCATCTCAAAATAGTAACTTGCTGATCCAAATTACAACTATGTCAGGGACCCCAATAATTCACATTTTTTAATTAGTGTATTATTTCACTAAGGATGATTTTCCCTAAAGTGAAAACCCCTCTGGAATAAACACAGTGGAAGCAGGTGCAAAGCTCAAACACTGTAAATATGTCACTCCTAAGATGACTACATAAAAAAAATTTAAAATTCCGTGCTTCAGCAGGTGATAAATGTCTCGGGAGGATTCCATAAGAAAAGAGGTAAAGTGGGACTATAAACAAGAAATCAAGAAAAAGCAACATTGGTGTAATTAAGAGAGCTGGAAATCCTTTCAGCCCTATGAATAAATATAAGTACAATGCTTAACTCTGCTTGCAAAATTACATAAATCTTGTAAAAACTATCCAGCAGAAGCTGCTAAATGGGCAAACTCTCTCATTATTACTGTTGGTACTGTTAGATTGCTGTGTCACCATGAGTCAGTCAATTATGCAGTCACTGTCACAAAGAGTATTCATCTCAAATAATTATCTTTTTGTCTCATTTCCCAAATTTTGCAGTTTTGCTATTTTCTCATTTCATATTCCTCTTCTGTGGATCCTGTAATTCTAGTTTTTGCTCTTACACAGCCTTCATCTCCAATAATTTCAATCTCAAAGTTCTCAGAAACTCTGATATGTTGCATTCAAGTGTGAAAATACATGCCTTTAATTCACATAATGCAAAGAATCTGGGATTGAGTTATAGCTAGTGAAATCAGGGACAATGAGTGCCTGTCTTTCTGGAGAAATGGATTGTCAAATTGTGAAGTTTCATATATTGTCTAAAGACATGGTATTCACAATGTATGCCATTTTTAGGAAGCTTTCCCTGAATAAAAACTCCCAAATTTTGACCTTCATTTTACTTAACTAGAGAGAATATGCAATTTGCACAAGAAACTTCATGTGTCACATTATAGGTGTTCTTTAATTGATATATTTTGTCTGCTCTGCTTCACTTTTTATTCCCTTTTACATGTTGCATATTCTTTTCTAATGCATTCCTAGTAGTCCCACACAAGTGTCTAAACAAATCTTCCAACTCTGTTGTTTCAGTGGATTTAAAATTTCGCTTTATTAGCTCAAAATGTGAAGAAAATTTGTTGATTTCATTGTTGACAGTGATTCATGGCAATCCAGCTCAGTGAATGAATGGTCTGGATCACCTGTTCAGGTTGTAAGCTGAGACAATTACATGAAATTCACCATTTTATAAAAACAGCCTCATGTTACACAGTACTTCCAAGCTGGCATTCACCACCACTTAGAATAGAAGATTATATTAATGAATCAAGAACAAAATGGACTTAGTAAGTGCTTTTTCTGACATAACCCGCCTGTCTGCTGAAATGGCAAATTCACTGCAAAAAGAACTTTGGTAACATTCTTCTGCTTACACGATGCCACAAGATGAAGAAATTCTCCATCAAAATGTGAAGCTTAAGTATTTTTATAACAGCTATTAAAAGATATTTTACTTACCCAGCCAACTTCTGTTTAAATATACTGACACAAACACTGGAGGGACCGTGAAGAAATCTACTACTGAGTTAACTTCTAGCCAAAACCATAGCTTGTCATTGGCTGCTATGAACTGAAAAAAAAGAAAGGGAGGATGAAAGAATCAGATTATGCTCATGGTGGTTGCAAGTATGTGCAATATTTTCCATTCTAAAATATTAAATTCCAAAGTTAGTGGACAAGTAACTGATGTTTTAGGTCAGTCCAGACAAAACAGCATGTCTCATTGGAAAGAAGTCGGTATTGTGTGTTGCTTGATGACCACATTGAGATTAAAATGAAAGGTCTAACTAAAAAGACAGATTATCTATATGATGAGTTGTAATATCTGTGCTAAAAAAACATTTTCTTCACATTTATTAACAATGTATCAGTAATATTAGAAAAGTGTAGGTAAGTATAAAATATTTCAAAGTAATATTTCACTTCAATATTTCACTTTTGCTCTAGCACACCAAACATGTTGGTAGTAGTCTCACCATGTACTTGCTGTTCACGGGTTTCTAAATACATGATAGTTTACAAAGTCCCATTATCATCCTATCCAGACATAATCACCAGGATGACTCCTACAAGGCATAATTCAGGACTGCAGCAGGACTTCAATCCTTTGAATTGTGCCATGGATGAGGTCATTTCTCTCTCCTCATCATGAAATCAGCCTAGGGAAACTGGCAAACTTAGATGCCAAGGACATCATCATTTGAACTTGCCTACTCATCTATGTGCTTAAATAAGATCAAACTACTATTCACATTCAAGTAATAATTTAAAAAAATGCTTTATATAAATATGAAATATAAATATACAAATAAATATAAAATTTTAGTGCATCACGAAGACATTTAATGGAGCAGTTTTACTCATATAAGTCTTAAAACCTGGACTAACATATTTCAAAACAGTGCTTGTATTTTTTGACTCACACACATTATCCATTGTCGTTCTTCCAAAGCAAATACTGACATTCTCTAACTATTTCACCCACTTAATCTCCTTGCCTTAGAACTACTTTAAAACTTCTAACAGAAAGTGTTTATGGTGCATACCAACTTTGATGGAATCCCAGATAAATTATTGGAAAGGGGACTCCACTGATGTCAAGAATGTTGAAATCATACTTAAAAAGAAGACAGACAACATGAGCATCCTTTGCCTCAGAGAAGACTCAAAAGCAAAAATAAATTGACTTTTTATTAGTCTGTATTACTCAATATCAATGCTCCACTATGAAAACTGAACAAAAATATCCAGTTTCAGCAGAAGCTTTCTATTCCCTTCTGTTGAACTTAGAGTAGTCAGAATATTTGGAACTAAAAACTTTTTAAGATGTCAGATCAATATTTTCATAACCTGCAATATGTGTTCTAATCAGCATTTTATCTTTCCCCAGGGCACAACCTTTAGGCTTTCAAAAAGGTTAAAGTGTGTTATTCAACAATGAAAACTAAGTCTGTTGACTGTAAAGGCCACTCATACTTTTCTATGGAAGTATTTGAACAGTTATTCATTTAGGTAATTAGCGATTAATAGAAGTCCATTTCATTACAGAGGCAATCCTACCATGCTTGAAGAGATACCTTGTTTTTCTAGAAGCACTAGCACAATTCTGTCGCTTCCAAAGAAGAATTACTTCCATACTTGCCATATCTCTGCCAGACCCTATTGCTTGATTATGTGCTAACTCATGCAGTTTGGACTTAGTCTTCATCAGCAGTTTGCAGACTTCACTTTTGAGTTCTCACATAGTTGGATACTAGCCAACAAAAATTTTAAAATGAATATATGCGTGTTTGAATACAAATATCTTCTAGAACTGAATATATGGTAATATTTATATGATTTTGAGTTGCAACATCATTTCAGGGAGAACAGATGGAGAAGGATGAGATTTTAAAATATTTCTTCAAATACTTTAATTTGCCAGTGAGTCCTCATAGGAGATATTTATCAGAAAAAAACCCCAACAAAAAACCCCAACATAAAATAGCTAAAAGTATGAGATGCTTATTACATAACTAGGAAACTCATTATCGATCCAATTCTTGCATCCGCACAACCAAGTATCACCGTTTCCCCAGGAACTCCTGTTTAGTTCAGCAGGACTTCTTGGAGAGCTGAAGTTACAGCTATATTAGCATTTTGACTTAGATAAGGAGTACTAATCTGAAGTGAATCCTTATCATCCCCATTTACCATACTTCAGTTTGCATCACAAAGCAGTTTTGGATAACACAAAGATTTGTTTTGGTTGAAACTAAAACTGAAAATGGTGTTCTAGCAGTGCAACTCACATACTGTAACTGCTGAAGTGCATTCAGTCCACAGGACCAGAATGGACTCTACAGTACTCTCTCTCCCTTCCAAAAAACATACAGTGTGGATATGACAGTATTAGCATCAGCTGTCAGTAAATTCTCATTTACTGTGCTCTGCTTCTTGATAATGTAATCCAAGTTACTGCTTTGAGTAAGTAAGAGTGTCCAATACATAATTTTAATTCTCTTGGTAAGAACATACAACCTTATCACTAGCACAAAATTTACAAAGCATTTGGATACTTCTAAAAAAAGGTTCTTGGAAGTTCACAAATACCATGCATTGCATCTGTTATGTCAAAAAGTTAACCTATATTGCAGGCCTGGTGGACATCTAAAAAAGCTCCCCAAATCTTTAAGAATTAGGGGCTATTACACTGCATGCTTTTAAAATACAGCTTAGAATGCATGCATAGTAGTGTAAATACTGAAGGAATTTACCTATTTAGCTAAATAGATAGACACTGTACCTAGACTAGGTAATGAAATAACGCAGATTTGCAACAAAATTCCTTATTATTAGAAAAAGTTGGTTAAGTTGGTCAGAAGTGAAATAGGAGGAACTCAACCATCATTGTGACATAGAAGCTCCAGTGATTCAGGAGCAAAATGGACAAAGGAAGATCAGGAAGCAATACTTGTATCAAATTTAAAGACTAATGTGGCAGGCTTTCTGCTCACATGAAGTTTTCCTTGTAGTTCTGTTATGTTTGAGGCCTTTTCCCCCTGATTTTCCAATTAACAACAAGCAAAGTTAGTTTTCAAAGTATATTTAAAAAAAAAAACAACACAACAACCAACCAACAAAAAAAACCCCCAACAGCTTGAATTCCAAGCATTACTGTCTGGAACTTTTAAAAGTGCCTACCTGTTTCAGATGTCCCAACTTTCAGATCCTGCAACAGCATTACTGGATTTTCAGAAAGTGGTAAGTATATTCTAAGTATATACATTTCAGCATGTTGACTAGTATTTACAGCTTCTGCAAAGCATTCATTAGCAGTCTGGGAAAGTGGAAGTGCATAAAACTGAATACAGCAGCTCTACCAGCTGTAACCTCAACCTTTGACTGCCAAAGACCTGTCTAGCAGCAGAGGAATAGATCAAGCATTCACTAGTCTTGCTGAGGTAGTTACGACTCCATTGATAACAATGCAACTAGATTCCACGTCACTGACCAGCACTGAACTATAAGAGTTTTCACTTTCTACCACATGAGAACATTCTGGAACAGATGGCTTAGCTTATAAACTATCAGTCTCCTTAGTGATCTTAGATGCTTATTATTATTACCTAAATGTTCCCAATCAAATGTTTTGCTCATACATTTTAGAAATTAGCTTAATTTTGTCCAGCCATTGTAGTCAGGCTTCATTCAAAGACTTTCCCTATCTAATAGCTATATTCTCTCCCTGACTTACGCTATCAAAGACATACTACTTACACGCAAGCCGAAGTAGAGTAGGAAGAACACATTGAAAGCCATGTCGATCTGTAATGTGAAATCTTTGTAGAAATTCTGGCAGGATTCTATTGGGCTATTTGAAAGAAAAAGAAATTGGAGTAAATCGTCAGTATTGAGTTTCTACTCTGGTAAGATTTTTATGCATTTCATTAAGGACCTTGATTCAGAAATCACATTTCTGTTTTCCAGTCATTTACAGGATACAAGCAAGCATTTCAAATGAATTATTTCATTCATTCAGTTAGTCATTCATACAGTCTTTATATTAACCTGTTCAGGTAATATCTGAGAATTAACATGCAGATACCTTTAAGAAAGAACAAGCAGGAGAATACCTCAGGATTCCTTAACCCCACATTAACCCTTAAAGAACTGACTTCTTGCTACAGGAAACATACCTATGATACTTTAGGAACAAACCTAACAAGCACACAGCTACAGTGAAACATTACATGGTTTTAATTCATGTCATAATATAAAACCTTAAAAAAAAAAACATAGTTGCTTAGGAATACATTACCCATTAGCAACCTGGGGTACTTAGTCTTGTACAATCCCTTGTTTATAAGAAGTTGGTTTGTTGTGGTTTTTTTTCCTTTTTCTCACTTCTTTTTTTGTGTATGGCTATTTAATGTACTTTATGTACAGTACTACGAACTGAGTAGAAAAGCAGCATAGCCCACTGGTAAAATTAAATAACAAAATAAATTGAGGAATTTGAAGCAGTACTCTAAGGGTTAATTTATGCATGCAGGTTAATTAAAATACCTTTGTGTGTGTCAGGCAGCCATTGCAAATTCTAGCTTATTATATTATGCTTTATTTAACAGTGGGACAGGTCCAAAGCATACTCTATACAAACTGGTACTTTACAGATACACTTTTATCTAAGGAAGACGATAACTTCCATGAGTGTGATTAGTGATTTATTTGTGAGTTTTCTAAAATTGGTTGGTGAAGCCACAGGGAAATGTTGAAGTCAGACCAAAGTAAAAGTCATGTCCTAATATATGCTGATGTATATACTATATATACATAATGTCCCACCATATATACATATATACACACACATATATTGCAAATGATCATGTATTCATCACAACTGTATTAAAGTGGAAAACTAGAATGTAGATCATTTGATCATTTGGAGCCATAGAAATTATCCTTTCAGGAAAGAAGAAATCCTTTGGCTTCCCAGGTCAAATAAATCACTGAATGTGAACTTAATACCAGTTAGTATAGCAGTAGCTCTGCAAATATAATGCTAGATTGCTCAACAAGCAAGATTCTATGCGTTATGAATGTCAGTTACCTATGTTACGGCATAAAGGAAATTACCTGGGCTACCAGGTCATTACACATGCAGCCAAATTTTCCATTCCTTGTATACATTACAGGTCAAACAAGTTAAATACAGCATGCCCTCTCCTGTCTTTAGACGCATGAATGTATACAGCAAAATTTTCCTTGATGTACAATAGCTTTATGTTTTAAGAACCTTCAGTGCTATAGGAAATTATATTAAAATGGTTTTTAAAAAGCTATTTGCAAAGACATTGACGTTATAAAACATTTCTGTTGTAGTTCAAATAAAATTGATTTACAAAAGCAGGCAGAAGGGAAGAGAAGCCAAACATTAACATATAGGATGGAAGACAGCACCTCACACTTTACAAATACAGCTTTAGCTACAAAAACAGTGGATGTAATCTGAGAACCCAACAGGATCATTTTCTGTATAGCATTATTGAGAGCAAAGGATGTTGTCAAAATAAGGTAGGCTACGCACTGAGTCAGTATGCACCCGACCAACAGAAATCACAGGAAGTACAGCAGAAGCAGCATGAACAACTCTGCACCAACACAGAGGCTTGGACCCTTAATTCCAGGTTAGGTTCCTGTAAAAGCTGCAGAAATTCACTGAAGCTAATGGAATTGCACAGATTTATGACTAGGATAGAGAGCACTTCATTATCTTCCTTTCCACAGTTATTTGGTACTTGTCATGATTGTTAGATAAGGTCAGCTAGGGTTGCAGCTAACCGCTGTACTTTTGTACCATTGTCCTTTACAAAAACCTACAAGATCTGACAAATTAGCTAATGCATAATACGTCTTCATCTTGTTTGCAGAACACTCAGTACAGTGGACCACAATCCTGATTTGGAACCTTTGTTTACCTAATACTAGGACTACTGCTTCTGCTAGTCATATCCCTAGAGCATCCTTCATTTCAGAGATCATCTCTCTCTTTCAATTTCTAAGTTATCCATTTCAAAGACAAACACAATGTCTTTTCCTTTTTATTTTAAATGATGAGTTTATCAGAAAGGCATGTCACTAAGGCTAAAGAAATGATTATTTATACTCACAGAATACAAGATTTTAAATTTTCAAAATTAAATTTTGGTGATATTTTTCCATTTCATTGGTAGCTCACATTTGAACTGAGAGAAAAATACAGCCACTAATGTTTATCATTGCACCATTCAGTCTGCTGCAGAAAGGAAGCCAAGTTGAAACTCTTTTTTACATCACATTTCTCCAAAACAGAAGTGCTGTAGTTCTTAGAGTTCCAGACTGTGGTGTGCTGGTGTCTCCAGGACTAATAATATATTGCCTGTTTTAAACTAAAATCAGATGGCTTGTCCTATGGGATTTCACCCCTTTAGATCAGCAAAGGATTCACCTTTGAAGGAGCCAACAGACTGTTAGAAATGTTTTTATTACTCTTCCCTGTAAGCGTCCTTCACTGTAAGTGTGGTTTCATGTATTTGTACTTCTAAAACCCCGGAGAAACTACACTAAAATCAATGGAATAACATTATACTAACAATGATATGAAAGATTTAATGTAACTGGAAAAAATTACAGTAGTTATGTAATTCTAAATGCAATATTTATGTGCACTTTGAAAGAGTGTCTTTAATTTGCTACACAAAAATTGAAAAGAATTCCACTGTAGCTATGACTTCTTGTGTTTTGAAAAGAAAAATTCACAGTACCAATTTTATGTTACTTAATGCAGGGATATCCTGCTGATAATCTATCAAGGACTATAATTCCCCTTTGCCCTGTCATCTTTTTATGTAATAGACTAAATGCTACAAGCAATGCCTGGGCTACACAAGCAAGATTTGAGAGGCTGACAGTTTTCTTCAGGTCAACATTTATATCAAGTTATCATTTGCTGCAACTGTGTGCTCTGTGCTACAATTTAATACAAAAATTGCATCTAGAGAAATAACAGTGGGCTTAGTTTGCCTAATCTGCAGTAAAGATAGAACCTTATTTGATTTTTCAGGCATGGGCTTCACTGTTAATTCTATTCCTTCCTCTCCTGCTCTTTAAACACTGCTATTCTTTTCAGTTTCACATTACCTCTATTTACTCGTTCTGTTTACTACTACAGCATTTTTATTGCAATACTAGTAGCTGTAAAGCCCAGTTATACAGGTATCACAGGCATAAACTAGTTCAGTGAGCTAGAGTGACTACAAGAGAAGTAACAAAATTACTCCAGTTTAACTTTACACAGATGGGGCAAAATTTTGACAAGGTGTTCCCAGCATCATTAAACCTTTTTCACAATCAACACTGAATCCAACACTTTACATGATGCTTTTACCACAGCTGAACAAATGAATGAATCCCTTGTCACTTCAATTCAAAAGAATTTACTGCTGTTTAAATAACTACTTTTGTCACAAGTTTATTTAATGTATTTATTTATCATACTCACTTATTTCCGGTTCATTTGAAATGCCTCTACTGCATTCAAAATGGTTCTACTGAGATTACTCTTTGAAGAGTCATAGAATCAGTGGGAGATGGCAAAAAATAGTACACATTTTAATGTTTTCTGAAATTATTTGTTTCTGTGAGTATATTAAAATGAAACTTCCCACAGAAGAAGCCTTCATTGAGTATTTCCAGGATTCTGCAATTGCAACAGAGTTGAAAATATCTTGTTTTCTCCTGTATCGTTTTACCTCGATAGGAGCTGTAAAGCCCATTTCCAACTTCAGAGCAAAGCCTTGCTGTGACATATCAATCTATGTCACAGTGCAATCACTCCCATTATGACCACACAGAAGTAAGGGAAAGAAACTCTACATTCATTCAGACTTTCGGCCAACTTTGCAATCATAGTGACATCTGTCTGGATGATTTTACATAAAATGTTCCCCACAATAATGGGAAAGATTGCGCACACCCAATTCGGTACTTGAAATAACTATTCAATATGCAATTTACAGTTCTTTGTCCTTTCTGTGTAAGGAAGTAGACTGTTGTATTTTTGGCACATGTCATGTCAGTCTGCTCCTAATGTTTTTTGCCACTTTTTTTTTTTCCTTTCCTTTTAATGACAAGGCCTGCAAAGGCTAAGATGGATGCTAATTTTTATTTGTGTAAAATTATATATCAAAATGCAAAAGGTTAATTTTAATTTTATTAATCTAGTTACATTTTGCCAAGTGTTTTGAAGATAAGAAGTTCTATGTAAAACATTCATAAACCACCACAAAAGAAAATTACTTCTACTGTAACTTCAGGGAAGTACTGACGTTCATAACAGTACCACAGCTGCTACATCTTCGGAACTTTAAGAAGTTATTGAAACTTTTAGAAATTCAGAGAATTGTCCTAATTTACAATTTTAATTTTTGGAAGCAAAGTTGTCTTCTGAATGGTGGAGGAAAAGCTAAATCCATGACTGAAATTAGATAAAATATATTTTAATTCTTAATATTAACTGAATAAAATGTAAAACTGAAAAAGTTGGAACTAAAAAAAAAAAGTATGTTACAAACTTAACATGCCTGAGAAATAAAGACAAGTTGATACTATGAAAAATTGGGAAGTTCTTAATTTCCTTTGCTCATGACAGTTTGTAGATTGCATGATAGTACATTATATGAAAAAACAGTAAAATGTGCAGTTTCTATCAGAAGGAATGTCCATTGATAAGAATGAATTTTAAAATCAAATTATAATTATATACAGAAATACTGGTAGAGGCTGCTAAAATATAATAAACACAAATGAATAAATAATGGAGAAAAACCACTC